ATTATTATTAAAATTACTTTTATTATTATTATTATTATTATTATTATTATATCTTATTTTTTATTATTGTTTTTTTTTTTTTTTTGTTTTATTATTATTATTTTTTATTTTTTCTATTTTATCATTATTATTACAAATAGCTTAGTGTTTGCATACGACGTACATTAGTGAACTCATTTTGTTCTTTGTCTGGTGCAGTGTAAACTTGCCTTACCTACTTACTACAACTTTGCTTGTCTCATTCTTTGTGGTGGCTGCTACAACAACATGTCGCAGCGCTGCTCCACACAGTTGTACTGATAAGCATTTTACACAAACAAAAATATATGTCACATTACTGTGAAAGCCTACAGTGACAAGCATACATATAAGCAAACGTTTAAGTGTTTGCGCTCAGTAATGTAGTTTCGTTTCTTGCACCAAAAGTGAACCGAGACTTAAACATATGGAAACTAAACTGACTTGATGTATACGCATATGACACTTTTAATTTTCGAAGGTTTCGAATATATATATATATATATATATATACATATATACAAATATATATATACGAATATAGATATATATATATATATATATATATATATATATTCAAGTATGCGTGTATATGTATGTATCTCTCTTTTTTTAATTGACAGTTCGAAACTAGAAGCATTCATAGTTGTTTTATTGTTGTTGCCCCATAAAATTAATGCGTTTTTATTTTTTTCATACTATAGTTTTAAATTCTCGTTTTCACAGGCACGAGCAGCAAACGATTTTGATGGCGACGATTATTGCAACATAAGTGCGGATGATGTGAAAACCGAAATTGTAAGTGAAAAGTCTAATAATTAAAATGAATTCTGAAAATAATTTCTTTCACAAGTTAAACAGTGAATATGGAACACAAGCAATTAATTTTTCTTTTTTGTTGTTCGATAATTGTGCCGTTGTCTTGTACGTTTTCCGTTCGCTCATTTTCACGTAGTTAGATTTATATTTCATGACTGCTTAACTGGTTAACGGCCATAGAAGGCGACCAGATTATATTATTATTAGTCCATATCGAATAGCTCTACCGAATCTATTTGAACATTAAGATAAGTTATAAACTAAATGAACAATCAGAGAGACAAATAGAAGCCAAAATGTTTTATATTAACATTTTAGCATTAGTTTTGCGCAGTTAAAGTAAACGAACTATTCACCCTTATTTATTGTTATTGCGAAAGATCAGCTAAAAGCCATCGGAAGGTTTAATCGAATTTTGAATTCTTCAAAAGTTTTCGGCCCCCAACTTTCGCAGAGAGAGACGAAGAAAGAGTGCAGAATCAGGCGCATTTCATATTTGCGATGAAGGTGCTCTACCGGGAAGTTAATAGCAATGCCGGCATCGGACATTTTAAGTCTCGTTCATTGCGTTTCCGCTCGCTCTTTGATAACCATCAAGCAAGTTCGTTTTTTTTTTTTAGAGCTACAAAGGCTTAAGTTATGTTACCTAAGAAATAGGCTACAAAGAAAGATCTAAAATAGTATTGAAGGCTTTAAAACTCACAATTAGTTCCAAGCTTAAATTGTCAAAAGTAAACTTTACTCCCTTCATTTTTACAAAAAATTTTAAGGAACTTCTTAGTTTGAATTCATTAATTTTTAGCAAAAAAAATTGCTGATATTATTACAAACACGGATAAATGCATGTTAATAAGGAGGCGTGATTACAAAAAGATTCCTTTACGCCTCGAATGTTGGCCGGATAGAAAAAGTTCCTGAGATTTTAAACAAAATCTTGGGACATCTTGTCATTTAGCTGTCTCTGATAATAATTTATTTCTATTGAAAACGATCAAGGAAAACAGAGAGCGAAAAGAGAGAGAATAAAATTGAGCACAATGCTCGCAGTCAGTATTTAGAATACAAAAATAAAAGTATGAAATAGTGAATACATACTTCATTCCACTCCCAATAACTAAGATTCTTCTCCTTACATCGAATTGCGACTTTAAGAGTACTTCGAAGAGTGCTGATCGTGTCAATAACATTAAGTTACGGTATATATGAAAAGTTTGCGAGGCAGTTATTCAAATTTTGAATAACAAATTTAGGCCACCGTTTGGCAATTTGCCGTCTTTGAAACTCTTTTGGGGATGGTGCAGACTCCAAAATGGACAGAGAATTTTTGTGATAGAATAGTTTGACACCTTATCGACTTCAAATATGGCAAATAAATGTTCGAGTGTGAGTGAGACTTAGTTCCCTGAATTAGTATGGATTATATCTCGCAGTACCCGAACATATACTATATGAAATTGATTGGAGAATAAAAATAAACCTATCAGTCTCGGGTACATCTTTTTAAGAATTCTTACGAAGACTTGAAAGACAAGATCAAAAACAACTCTCAAAACGGTTGTTATAGAGTGAGTTTACTAAGCTAAATATACACTAACTAATCATATATTAAATATTTTTATTTATTATCCCTACGCTGTGATTGGATGACATGTTTAGTTAATTATAAAGTTTTGTATAAACATGCAAAAGTTTTCATTTGGTTATGTTATTAACTATGAAATTCTGCCAACATTGTTAACAGATTGAAAGTGACACAACTGAACTGGCTATGCTTGAACACACAAACACTTCCAATTCCGTACCATTAAATTATCATAGAAATGCCACTGATCCAAGTGTAAACTTTGCAAATGGCAGTGGGCGTAAACGTAAAGCACAAACATTTTCAACTTCCACGCAGGCCATTGAAAAGGGACCATCGCCATCGAAACTGCTTAATCAACAACAGCAGCAGGAACAGCAACAGCAACAGCAACAACAGCAACAACAACAACAACAACATTCCCATGCCACACACTCCAGACAATGTGATTATTTGAATAGCATCGCGACAGAATGTTCTTTTTCCAAGCAACCGGTAAACAGCAGCAGCAATAACCACAACAACAATAACAGAAGCAACAACATTGACGAGTATGGAGTTTTTGGTGAATATGTAGCCATAACCATTAGAAAATTGAAAGCGTCTAAGGCGAAAATTGTGGTAAAACATTTAATAAACAATTTACTATACGAGGCTGAGCTAGGCAAGTACGATCATGGTATACCAGCATGCAAAGAACCCCCAGAATTATATAAAATGTAACCTTAATCAGAAAATAGGAAATGCTATCGAGACAAAGAAAAAACCAACAAAAAAAGGAAAAGAAAGAAGAAGATAATAAGCAATATGTTAAAAATGTTACCTTGAACACTAGTCAATTTGTGTTTCAAATCCACAATCAGGGAAGTAATCAGCAAAGAAATCTTAAACTTAAGTAAATCCAATACGAATAACACGATGAAATAACAGCAATGTTTCATCATACTATCAAAAAAAACAAAACAAAAAAAAACAAAAAAAAAAACAAGAAAAACAAAAAAACGCAAAAAAAAAAATCAAATATTTTTTTTAGCATTTTAATAGAAAAGTTTTATATTTGATATATATACATATGTATATATGCATATATATGTATACACCTATATGCGTGTGGGTGTGCCTAAATACATATATACATGCCCGTGCATGCACATAAGTGTTTATTGTATAATAGGTGTAATTTTAAACATAAACTCAGGTGCCTTTTTTAATAGTCATTTAAGTTTTTATTTTTATTTTTTTAAGAATTCAATAATTACGAGTCTGTTGCTGTCAAAAAGAAGAATTGTTTGAAAATTTGGCTATAAAACCAGAAAAATCAACATCTAACATCTAACATCTGCTGCAGAAAACATTATTTCCACTAAGAAGTTATCTCCGGTTTTTTCATATCTATTCACTGGGTACGAAAGACATAAGTCTGGACGACATGATGATCATCTTATGATTCGAATCGTAGGAAATTATTTTAAAGAAAGTGATTATCAATGTCAACAACACGCAATAGAGCCATTGCTCCATAAGCTATATGGCAAATGGTATCGTCTTGCTAAAAAAACAAATTACCGTTCAAATTCATAGCATAAAGTTAAGGCTAAAACTAGTCAGCCAATATCGTTCGATAATGCATCCACTCACTGCTTTCAAAAATGTTCAGGCCAATTACACTGCCAATCAAAAATCCACAACAAACCGTCAAGTGGTTGCTCATGAATCTTTCTTTTCTCTTTTTTTTATTTGTTTAGACCTTCCATTCCCGGGATGCAGCATCTCTGTTTGTTTATGATATATAGCCGAACAAATGGAAATGTTTTTCAGCGCTCAGACTAATTTTGTTTAAAAGGGTCATAATTTTATCGACGCACTTCCAACCCTCAATTAACAAAAGCGCCAGGAATGCATCTAAAAAATCCTTCTGGTCTTTAGTTTGCATCTATCATCGTTTATTACCGTTCAAAGTGAAGACTCTATATGTATATAAGGCATTAAAAAGTACAACGACACTTCCCCCTGATCAGTATAAGTAACGAAATGAAGTTTGCCTTGTTCGCGTTTCTATCTCTTATTCTGTTGTCTTACGTTCATGTTCCTCAGAACTCAGAACTTAGCAGAAAACCAAATTTAATCGGAGACTTTTTCTTGAAATTTTCCCCAAACTTAGCAAAGAAAAAGACAACAAAATGACATCTAACGTAGTACATAAATAAGGCTTCGTCTTATCTACTTTTAGTTGCAAAGTTCGATAAATGAAGTTTCCTCCAGATAATAATTCGTAGTTGTTCTCGTTACATTCTTACATTACTAAAACATATGCATTGTCGTTCTTTACCGGAAACGGAAGTTTGTACCGCTACTTAAGACAAACATGTGACATATCTATGACGTACATGGAATTTAATTAATATCTTGAAGATAAAAGACAAAAAGTCGTATTCTCGTTGCATTTCGTCGCTGTAAGTGGTCCCAAAATGCCAGCACGACACCCAACTGCCGACCTTACAAAGACATAATAACGATACATGAAAGTGATACTTTCTTATATGCCAGAAATTTTGATATACTAAATAAAGCTTGCTCTTGTCGGCTAAATCTGACACGGATGTGATCCAGATTACTGGATCTAATGGGTTTCAGATACCTCTTAGATTGGTTACGTGAAAGCCAAAAAAAAAAATAAAAATAAAAAAAAAAAAAAACAAGAAAGTGAATTTTACACTTGTCAGTCATTGTTTAATTAATTAATTAATTAATTAAGTTTCATTTTACAAAAATTACAATTTAAGCGCTTTTCACTAAAAATCATTACACATCTATCCTTTTTCTTTTATACTTTTAATTATCCGTTGGCTAATTGCGATCTTTAAAAGTGCCAAAAGCAAAAAGAATGCATTCATCGTTCTGAATAATGAAATTACGTAGTCGAAATCAAACTAAAATCTCGGAATTAATTTTCTTCTCTTTTATATCGACAAACTTAATCCAGGTTTCGGCTTAGCTAAAAGTATTGATTTATCAAGAGAACGACGAAGAAAAGCTCCTTCTCTTACAACGATGTCGAATAAACTATGATTTCTCATCATTTCAAATCTATGAATAAGCTAAGAAGTCGAAGAAGATCTCTTTTAATAATAGGTGATCCTATGTATGCTGCCCGCAACTACTTCCAGCCAAAGCCGCCAAATTCTTCTGTTATTCGAATAAGAGATTTTTCATGCAATTCTTCTTGGTGACTTGAATTGATCTATTATTTTGATATGAATAAATAGACAATTTATTGGTATGCATAAAGTATCTCTGCATTATATATAATAAACATAACTTTTATTACATATAAATTGTAAATTCATGCATTTAATTGCATACACCGCACGGAAACGATTATAATGAGTAAAGTGCAGGAAGGAATATATAATAATCGATTTATTGTGTGTGTGTATGTGTATGTGTGTGTGTGTATTTGTTAAATTTTCGATACTTACCATATCTAACATAATACAATTATGATTTTTGCATAATAATATGGATAACAGAATGTTAACTTGAGATCTATATTCAAAGTGTATATATATCGAGAAGTCTTAATAGACAGATCGATTGATAGGCGAACAAATCAAAATTGATCTAGTATCTCATACGCAAAAAGAATTTATGATCTTTCTGAGTCATTAACAGAACAAATGGATTAAATTGTTTCAAACCATCCGCCGGCAGTGAACTTAAAACGTACCTTATGAATATAAAATGTAATAATTCCGACACACATATAAGTATAATGAAAAATTTTATCTATTCGTATATATATATATATATATATATATATATATATGTATATATATATATGTATATATATATATATTTATATATGTTATATAAATACTTTAGTAAAGTGAAAGAATAGAAATATTTCCTAATAAATAAAGCTTTTATCGATTCCAAATATATTGCAGTTATACTGATGAATTAATAATCAGTGTCTATTGACTATTGGATCTCATTTAAGATTAAAAAAGGTAATGTAACTACTAATTGCCAATGCTCACATAGGATTAGTTTCAACGAAGCCACCTGCATATCTGCCAAGTTCGCTTATCATAAATGATTCTTATTTTAAATCGGAAATGCAATAAGAATTTATGCAATAAAAATTGCTTGTATACACATAGATCCCATAAGAGGCCAAACAATTTCAAACTATCGCACACAATCACAGTTATAATTCCTCTTTGATATATATACATATATATACAAGTCATTAAGTAAACACAGGTATTGGCGATAAAGTTCATGACCCTCAACTCTAACTATCATGCGCAAATGCCAGCATCATCTTGTATTACGGAGTTTAAAGGTTTTAAAAATGCACTCAAAACACAGACTGAGTAATTGGTACATGTTTTCAGTTTGGATTACGTAGAATAATAATTAATAACCTAATTGAAGCAATTAATTGGCATTTTCAACTGTATACGCGCTTTCGTGTCGCTTTCAATAATAATAAATTTTTTTAGCTAAAAAAAAAAAAAAACAATTTTAAATCTTAATTTTTACAGCAACTATTATTATTAATAATAACGAGCATAATTATTTCGTTTGCAGTGTGTTAGTTAAAAAAAAGTTATGTCCTTCGACATACCCCGAAAGAAAGCGAGCAGTTCATCTCGTTTACATTATTGAAATCGTTTTAAAATTTCTCAAATGCTTGTTATACGGAATATATTAAATATATATACATATATATATACATATATATATACATATATATAATATATCGAGCGATCCAACTTTTGTTATATCGATCGATTGGGCATCATTTTTTTAATTGGCCTAGACTTGTCTATCCATTGGTCCATTCTGTTTTCTTGCGTTCAACCCGCAATTTTTAAGATATTTTGATGAAATTTTTATATGCTGACGTATTTTAATCCAAGTGGCAAGTAACTTCCTAGTCATTACACAAACAACTGTAAAGTGCTGTTTAATAAAAAATTAATTTAATAGTAAGCCGTCGTCCATTGTAGTGCTTTTACTCGTTTAAAAAAAATGAAGTAGTTTTGAAAAAAATTCGAGAAACCTATTTAATGCAATATTTTAAATGTCGCTTATGGGGCTTTTTTCGCGATGCAATCCTTTTAATTAATGTACCGTAGGGACAAGAGGAAATTTATTGTGTATGTGTACACACAACACATACACATACATGAAAAAGCATTTGCATCAAATTCGAAACTATTTTGAGGTACATTTTCTCAAACCAAAGTATAACTTATCGCAGTTTCACAAGAAGATCAATAATCCGAAAGAAGGATGCCATTCGCCCAAAGAGTGACAAGTGATATATGAAAGTTGGGTCAACAAGTTTAGTGCACTGAAATCTGAAAATAATCATAAAAGATTGTCGTAAAGCGTCTTGGATAATAAAAGACATCAAAACTAAGGCAAGCAGATGACAACATGTAAAGCAACATCAAGAGTGATGAAAAATTGTCTGCCAAAGCTATGAAAAGTGAACGAATTCCTAAAAATGAACTACTGTTTGCACTGCAATAAGAGGTAAGAAAGAAAATGTATTGCGAAGGCTTTAAGGATTGCCTCGCTCTTCCCTACATCCGCTTGTTCCGATTATTCGGCTTTTTAAGGTTCTTGCACATTCTTTACCTTGTGCTGCACCAAGGAGAAGTTCGCCCTTTCGTGCCAGACGAGTCCAAAGAAATGACTATAAATGATCCGGATCTTACTAACAATACTACCCGTGTTTCGATTCCAGCAGACTTTCGAATAACAATTTCCCGTTCTCCGCTTTCTTTATGAATTTTAATTCATTCTTGTGCAGCGGAAAAGACCGAGTTAATGACTACAAATTGCCCAATTCTCTCTTCTTATCTCTATTGGCATGTGGGCACATGTATCTAAAAAAAGTTCAAGGTAACCTACCACTACACGGTAACTAGCCCTCGATTCCCCTTTCTTCCTTTT